GGAAATCTATAAAAAAAAAAAAAAAAAAAAAAAAAAAAAAACTACTGGACTTTAGAAATCACCTTCAATGCTTCATTCTTTCTCCACACCAAATCCTCACACGCTGTTGATTCCATTTCACGAGGTTTCATTTACTATGTCTCTACTGCCCCATCATCTTCTCTGTCCTGACAATTTCAATATTTGCTCCATTAGTTGACCTGCTTGGATCCCTTATCTTTACAATCTAATCCCTTGTAATATCTCAAGGGTACCTTTAAGGAATTCAGAATCTTGAGTAGAAATCATGTCTCTACAACTTTCTAGGTATGAGACCTTGGGTAAATTACTTAACTTCTCTAAGCCTCAGTTTCCTCCTTTGTAAAACAAATATACAATTAGGTAAATAACAAAAAGTATAGAGAAAATATGTAATACAAATAAAGGCATAATGTGATATGGTCTTCAAAGTTAGACTGGGCCAAGTACTATCAAGAAATTTAAAAAGTTGTCACAGAATTGTTACATCACCAAAGAGAATCATGTTTATCTTGTATTTCTAGGAATATTATCTCCAGTTGACTTTGAAGGCTTTAATTAAACAAATAATTAGCCTGAAAATAGAAGTACACACCAAGGTACAGCTATTGCATTTACTAGTTGTTTTTCCTGCTTATGAAACCTTTGGTTAGTGGTAATCTATTTTAAAACAATAAAATCACAATAAAGTTCCTCTCTCCACAAACATTATGTTTTCTGTCAATTATGTATTTTTCTAGTTATTTTAGTTATTATTATTATTTGACGAGGGGTGGAGGGAATGAGAAAGCAAGCTACCAGTTCTGAGACTCAAACCACACTTGGCCATGTGGGAGTCTATCATCTCAACCATCATGCCATTTGCGTGCCCCTCTGGTAACAATATCTTATATTAGTGTGGCTGAATTTATCCTCAGTCCTCCTTATAACTCCAGAAGTAACTTCCAAACAGACCACAGCCTTAACATACATCTGATAAGTCTCTCAAAAAGCTCACTTTCCCCCTCTTGGAAACTTCTTATTTTTTTAATATTTATTTATTTATTTAATTCCATTTGTTATTATTATGATGATTTTTAATTTGACCAGAGAGAGAGAGAAAGGGAAAGTGAGAAAGCTAGCCACCAGGTCCGGGACTTCAACCACAATCAGCCATGCGGGAATCCAGCGCCTTTTACCACCATGCCACTGGCTGGCCCCAACTTCTGATGATTTTATATATGCCTTGATCTATGTTGTCCTTTCACTTTGAATGCCTTTTTGTTCTTTTCCAATTAACTTTTTATTCTTCCCTTAAAACCAAAAGCAAATGCAGCTTCAGAAATCCCATATGAATTAACTTACACATATGTTTCAGCACTTCAATCATGATGTATTGTGAATTTTTCTTTTTACATAACCTACATATATTTACCCAATAAGTTGTGAGTTCCTTAAGAGCAGTCTATCACCTTCACAGATTTTCAAGTAAGGTCTGAGTAAGATATAACAAAGTCACCTAAAGTACTTTAATTCAAAATATTAATCTACATCCTATATGCTGAAATAGATGAGTCTCAAGACAAGAAATTTTGAAAAGCTTTCCAGAGCCTCAAGACTCTAAATTCAAAGATCTGTCGATTATACAAAACACCGATAACAATCGCTGCTACATATAGAAAGGTGTGTGTATGTCTAAACTCATTTCCTTCTCTTTTCTTGAAAAACATAAACATAATTTATCAAAGAGCCGTATTACTCCATACACACAGACACACACATACTTCAATGTATCATGTAGACACGTTCAATAGAGAGATCAGTTGTACCTAACTGAATTTGACCAAATGATTCCCACTCTTTAAGGATTAAGGAAAATAAAAATAAAACAATGACAAATTATCGAGTCCATGTCTTTGGCAGGCACTGAGAAAGCTAATAGTATAAAAACAATCATGAAATATTCACAATATATACATGATGCAATTATTAATTATTACTTTACCAATCAGGAGACTAGGGTTTAAAGAGGTTAAGATAACTTGCCCCAGCTCACCAAGTTAGAAACTGACAGAGTCTGGAAGTAAACCCTGTCTGTCTAATATAAAAAAGACTATGGGGACCAGAAGGTAGCATAATGATTACATCACTAGACTCCCATGTAGTCAATCGCAGTTCGAATACCGGATCCAGTGGCTTAAAATTCACACTAGGCACATGTGCATGCATGCCCAAAATCCCAAGAAGAGAATGGAGGAAAAGGAATTGCAGCATGGCCATCCCTTTTATTCTGGGGGTGGTGATGGGGTGGTGGTGGTAATTTCTCACTTTCTGTCTCTCTGTCTCTCCAGGAGTATATGAGCCCTATAGCAAAAATTCTCCCTCTTAAGAAAAAAAAAAAGAAAAATACAACCACAATATTTAGAAGCTCATAAATGTTTTCCTAGTCTTATAAAAGTTCAGAAACTAAATAGTGAAAAAAGAAAAAAGAAAAAGAAAGAAAACAACTTTTCAATACTTCTATGAAAATTGTTTCATAAAAATTTAAATTCCTTGGGACGAGCAGTTAGCGTAATGGCTATGTCGCTGGACTCCCACATAGTCGACCGCAATTTGAGTCCTGGACCCGGTGGCTTAAACTCGCCAGGCATGTGTGGGTGCATGCCCAAGATCCGGAGAGGAGAATGGAAGAGAGGGGATTGAGGCATGGCCATCTCCCTTGGGGGGTGACTTCTTGCTTTCTGTCTCTCTGTCTCTCTCTGTCTGTCTGGTGAGCGCACGTGCCCTATAGCAAAAATCGTTCCAAAAAAAAAATGCTAAAAAAATAAATTTACATTCCTTCAATGAAGTAAAAAAATAGTTTAGTGCCATGCTGAAATAATTTCACTTGGTAGTGATTTTAGGAAATGCAAAACTGTTAAATTCAAAAGCCGTTGTGAAATCTTACAAATCAGGTCGTGTGGCACTCAGTGCTTCAAGGACAGCTACTTGTACAAATAATGTCATAAAGGAATGTAGTTCAGTATGCCACAGAATTCTTTTCAGGTCCTCAACACTGTTGTTCCCTTTATACAAATGATATAAATATTTTAATAACAGGGCTTTTAACTTATCAAACAAACAGAGTAATCTATACTTTTCTGCTTGTGTAAAATGAAATGTTTAAAACTTAGTAATGATGCATAACATCTTGCAATATTTCACTTTAATAATTGCTCTGTAATAACAAATCTGACTGCTGTTAACATGATCTGTCTCTTTCACTGCAGATTTAATTAGATGACTAATTTGTGTTCTGTAGCACCTGACCTTTCTTGTTTCATACTATTTAAAAAATAATACCGTTGACTTAGTTTATCCAGTATTCTACCTGATCCTGTCAATTTGCTGATGATCACACATTGGATCACCAAATTACTCTATTTTCATTAACACAATGTGGGAGTAATCAGCAGCGTTTTCTGTGGAATAGTGTATCGAGTATCACAATCACTATCAACATTTTACAGAGTATTTATTCATCCCAGGTACAGACTGATGCTCTTTTTATGTGTTATGACACCCCCTAGCAAATGATGAAGCTATGATTCGAGCCCACAAAATTTTATTTTAAGGATAGTTCTCTTTACCACAATGATATACTGAACCATATATATATATATTTTTTTTTGAGAGGTTTTTGCTATAGGGCACGTGCGCTCGCCAGACAGACAGAGAGAAACAGAGAGACAGAAAGTGAGAAATCACTCCCCAGGGGGGATGGCCACACCGCAATCCCTTCTCCTCCAGTCTCCTCTGTGGATCTTGGGCACGCACGCACACACGCCCGGCGTGAGTTTTAAGCCACTGGGTCCGGGATGCGAACCGCGGTCGACTACATGGGAGTCCAGCAACATAGCCATTACGCTAACTGCTGTTCCCTTTTTTTTGAGAGAGAGAGGAAGAGAGTTTTGCTATAGGGTACATGCTCTCACCAGAGAGACAGAAAGTAAGACATCACCCCCCGGGGGGGATGGCCACGCTGCAGTCCCTTCTCCTCCATTCTCCTCTTGGGATCTTGGGCACTTATGCACA